TCACATATATTTTTAATTTATTTATCTTCCCCTCCTCCCATACCCTCCTTTCAACCCATTCTGAATTTATTCCTCTCTCTCTTGGGGTGGGGGTGGGGACAGGATCTCACTGTGTAGTGTAAGCATGCCTTGAACTCTTACGTAGACAGGCTGAGTTTCAACTCATGGTGATCCTACTGCTTCTGCCTCCTGAGTGTTGGGATTACAGGCATGCACCACCATGGCTACTTATCTCTTTAGAAGTTTGAATAAAACATCATGTAGGATTTATTTATTTACTTATTTTGTCTTTTTTAAGACAAGGTCTTGCCATGCAGTTCAGGCTGGGGTTGAGCTCACTTTGTAGCGCAGACTGGTTTCAAATGATCCTCTTTGCTTCAGTCTCCCTAGCACTGGGATTACAGGCATGTGCTACCACACCCAGCTTTAGGATCTATTTATTATCTCTTTTTGGGGAATTTGGTAAATCTTTCTGTGTGAGTTCTTCTGCCCTTAAAAACGTAATCACATGTCTATGGAGCTGCATGTTTGCATCAAGATGGATTTTTTTTTATTTATTTTTATTTATTACATTTATTTATTGTGTGTGTGTGTGTGTGTGTGTGTGTGTGGCCAGCTCAGCCCACCAGGGGGCGGGGCTGGCTGGCATGTGGTGCTGGGGGATCGAACCGAGGTCCCTGTGCTTTGCCAAGCTTGTTTCAAGTAGGTGCTTTAGACCACTGAGCCATCTCACCAGCCCCAAGATGGATTTTCTTATGATTAAAATTAGCATGCAGTAGTATACCACAAGTATCTGATTAATGTTAGATTTTACCAGTAATTCTGGCTTGTTTCCCCCTCTTCCCTGTTTTGTTCCCTCTTTGTTCTTTTCGAAGTTAAAATTAGTTTTGATCAAGGACTTTGATTCTTGTCATTCCTAGTATATCATGTTTAATAGCAAGTGAAAGCTTTTTATTGTACTGCCCCTCATTGAGCCACTGTGCCTCACAGATAACCAAGTATCTCATTATTATCTCCATTACCCTTAATATCTAAGCCACAAAACCAAAAACAAAATTACCATAGTAGAAAAAACAAAATTATCACAGTAAAAAGAATAAATTGTTTGGACAGTGCTTAAACTTGTGGTCCTCCTGTTTCAGCTTCCCTGTCTGCTGGTGTTACAGGTAATATGCAACTGACACTTTCAGAATATCACTATGTAGTTTTTTGTGGCAGTACCAGGGTTTGAACTCAAGACCCTTCACTCGCCAGGCAGGTGTTTCTTCTACTGAACTATCTCCCTGGCCCTTCACTATGTAGTTTACATGGGCCTTGAGCTCACTTTGTATCCTAGGCTGACTTTGAACTAGCTGTGATCTTCCTGCCTCAGCTTCCAAAGTGCTAGATTACAGGCATGTACCACCATGCAGGGCTCAGCTGACACTTTTTTTTTTTTTTTTTTTTTTTGGCAGAACCGGGGATTGAACTTGGACCCTTGCACTTGCTAGGGAAGTGCTTATTCCACTGAGCCATCTCCCCAGCCCCCTGACCTATATTCTTGAACAGCATTGCTACTACTTGTGAATAAGAAGTAGAATACTGAGGTTGGGTGAGGTAGGAGTTCTGGAGAGTGGTTTCCTATTGTATGTGTGTGAGGTCCTGGGTTCATTCCCCAACATCACAAAACAGTGCCCCAAATTGTTTGCTTTTTACTGAAGTGTATTTTCCTTTTCAAATCCATTTATTCATGTAATTGTACTATTTGTCTTTAGTTGGGGCTGTGGATAGAATAACAGACAGGCTGCTAGTTCAGGCATAATAAAACAAAGTGGGTTGTGTATAAATATACTTTTCCTTACGATATCCTCTCATCATGGCTTTTTGTCAAAAATGACTTTGAGGGCCAGTGAGATAGCTCAGCAGACTTAAGTGCCTGCTTAGGCAGGTTCAGGGACTAGAGTTTGATCCCCAGTCCTGCATGCCATTCCAGCCCCACCCCTGGGGTGCACTGAGCCTGACTGAGTCCGGGTGTGGTGGCGAATGCCTGCAATCCCAGTGCTGGGGAGCTGAAAACAGGAAGATCATGACAGAGTCTGAGCTGCATAGTGAGATCCTGTATCAAATATGTGTAAAAAAAAAGAAAAAGACTGAGAACTTTTTGGGCATTCTGGGAATGAGCTTTATTTACCTTGATGATAAAAACAAAAAGATGTGTATGTTTTTAATGTATTTAGTACAGGGTCTCACTACACAGATTGGACTCATAGTGATCCTCCTGTTTTCAGCCTCCCAAGCACTGGGTTATAGGTGCATTACCACACCCAGTCTCAGTCCCTGGCTCAGCGTTCCTCCGGAGGTGGGGCCAGCATGGCAGCCAGGGATCAAATCCCATTCTCTGCACCTGCTTAGAGTTTAGTCCGCTGAGCTATTCTGCTGGCCCAAAGATAATGTTAAGTGTTCAAATAGAGGTGATATCTGTCAGAGGGATAAGGCTGCCTGTGCTGGGTAGACTCCCAGGCTTGTGTATTGATTATTGTCACTTTTTTTTTAAAGTCACTATAAAGTTAACTGAAAGGCTTATTTCTGTAGAATCATTGCTCAGATTGGGGCATATTTCATCCTTTACTTTCTCAACCTTAAGTAGAGGGAGGGATAGGGGACATTCTCTCTAGGAGATTCCTGGTGACATTACCTTGTTTAACCACCAGTATTTTACCCCCTCTCTCTCCCCTCCTACAGAAATGGAGGCAAACGACCATTTTAACTTTACTGGCCTTCCCTCTGCACCTGCTGCCTCAGGACTGAAACCCTCTCCCTCAGGGGAGGGCCTCTACACTAACGGGTCTCCCATGAACTTCCCACAGCAAGGGAAAAGTGAGTGAGGGCCACATGCCGTGGGGGAGGGAAATGGGCATCATTTGTTTAGAGCAGATTGATGGAAAGAGGTTTGTCTCCATTTTAGGCTAGCTATCCCAAAACAACTCTTTCCTGCCAGGTAGGGAAAAAGGAAGTGAATCCACAGAATTCCAGCTGCTAGAGAGAAATCAGACCACTAAGAATACGTTTTAGAGGTTTATAGAAGCAACATTTTTAGTCTTAAGAGTTGAAAGTTATTAGAAAAACATACTGGCTTTTTCATCATACCTTGTTCTTGTGTTAACACTATTCCCTGGCTATTGCCAGAGAATGTTGAGGTGGCTGCTGCTGATAACCAGGTTATATCCATGAAAAAAAGATAAAGGATCAGCCTTAAGCTGTTTTTAGAGGTTGGAGGAGTTGCTTTGGGCCAGCACTAGGAGTGGAAAAAGGCAGGTGAAAGTTGGGATGTGTTTTCCTTTTTGTTCACACAGCAGAGAACAGATAGATGGTAGAAGTGCCTGTATCTCCTCCTGTCTTTGGGTAGAAGATAATAAGGACAAGGAAGGATTTAGTGTGTACCTAAGTTGCCCAGAGAAATTCATAATTCCAGAAGGAAGTACTGCTGCCCTAATTAGGTCTTTTACTGGATTTGGCTTCTCTGTAGCATGACTGCATGAAATACTTCATTAGTCTTGCTTGGGTTTCAAGTCCTTTATGCTTAGAAGCAGAGAGAAGCCCCCGTACCTCCCTCTGTCCTTGCAGCAGAAATATATAGGCTTTTACTTACCACTTACCCTCCTCTTCTGCAAGGGGCTTGCAGGAGAGAAGCTATTTTCATTGGGTTCTCTGCCCTGCTCCTGTCCCCAGCTTCCTTATTTCCCTTTATTTGATTGTTCTTCATCATCCCAGAGGGTACCATTCATGTTAAGAACTGAATTCTGCAGCACTGGGCATGTAAAGATTTTTACCCCCTGCATATTACCCTCCAGAACCTATAGGGAGGGGCTAAGCCCAGCCTTCTGAGCTGAAATCTTGTCGCTGTGGTGACTGCAAATTCTATTCTTAGCCCAGCACAAAGTGCTGGATCTGCATGTGCCAGTGAGGTGGAGGCTGTCCCTTCTGCTGCCACTGTGAGGCCAAATAGGCACTGGGGTAGGGAGTACCCTAGAAAATAGTTTAGGCAAGAATTCCTCTAGGGAATGAGAGGAGGAAGAGTGCAAGTCACTGTAGGGAGTCTGCAGACAGCTTCATTTAATAAAAAGGCAGCAGCCGCAGCCATCTCTCTGCTGGTGGCTCCCACAATGCCCCCTACTCAGCAGTGTCAGTAGCCGTTGCTAAGCTTACATTCAGGAGCATCTGGGTTTTGTGTTCCCCAGAGACCTAAAAGCTAAATATAACAGGGGGACTCCCCCTCCTCTTCACCTTCCCTTTTTCTAGTCAGTCCTATTACATTGGGGTTCTTTTGATAGCTATATATATCCATAACTGATCCTTTTTTCTTTGTCAGGTTTGAATGGGGATGTGAATGTTAATGGCTTATCTACTGTATCTCACACTACTACTTCAGGGATTTTGAACTCTGCTGCCCACTCCTCCAGCACCTCACACCTCCATCACCCCAACGTGGCCTATGACTGTCTCTGGAACTACTCACAGTACCCATCTGCCAATCCTGGCAGCAACCTCAAGGACCCACCCCTTCTCTCCCAGTTCTCGGGGGGACAGTACCCACTCAACGGCATTCTTGGGGGCAGCCGGCAACCTTCATCCCCAAATCACAACACTAACCTTCGAGCTGGGAGCCAAGAGTTCTGGGGCAACGGTACCCAGAGTCCAATGGGACTTAACTTCGACTCACAGGAACTGTATGATTCCTTTCCTGATCAGAATTTTGAGGTGATGCCCAATGGACCCCCAGGTTTTTTTACCTCCCCACAGACTTCTCCTATGTTGGGATCTAGTGTCCAGACCTTTGTGCCCTCCCAGGAGGTAGGCAGTGTGATCCATCCTGATGAGGCAGCAGAAAAGGAGCTGACTTCAGTTGTGGCAGAGAATGGCACTGGCTTGGTAGGCAGCCTGGAGCTGGAAGAAGAGCAGCCAGGTATAACTGGGTCTCTGAGTTGGATAGGGAGAGGGAAAATGGAGCTGGGGGGAGGGGGACAGTGGCTTTTGGAGGTGAGGAAAACTTGTCTTTCCAGCTCTCTGCAGTAGAGGCTGATTTGCATGTTGGTGATTAGCAGAGCCAAGTGGCTGGTGTTTTTGTGGCTGCAGCACCAGCTCGAGCGAGTGGGAGTACAAATTATTTCAAGCTCATGCAGAGCTGCTGGCCTGGAGAGGGCAGGTGGGCGAGCCTGAAACAGCCCCAACAGATACTCTGTCTCAAGAAAGGCTGCTTCTACAACATGAAAGGGTTAGGATATTAGCAATGGGCAATGAGGCCTTTTTGGTTAAAATGATCCGAGTGGCTGCTAAAGTCAGCCAAACCGTAGTAGTGATAGGTATGTGAAGGATGGAAAGAAGACAGAATATACCCTTGCTTGCATACCCAGTTTTATTTCTTTTTTGTTGTTAGCATTAGTACTCTGTGTGACGACACCTCTCATAATGTCCCTCAAAAGATTAGCTTACAAAGGGATTCCCAGTAGAAGGGGCCCAGCTGATAAAATCATAGGATGTGTTTCCTCTGTTCCCATTCACTGGGGAACATGGCTATGAACATGAGTAGGTTCTTGTCTCAGATCCCTCATTCCTTTCCCTTTTCCTTGCTGCAGGATTGATTTTACCAGCACAACTCTCTCTCTGCACGGTTAGAGTGTTTTGATATGATCAGCTCCCTACATAGAACTGGCACCCTAGCAGCAATACATTTGAGTAAATGGGTATCCTTATAGCACAGTTTTAACTGCCTAGTATAGCTAAATGAAGCAGTTGACGGCACTGATTTTGCCTTTTGCTTTCTCTTGGAACTCCCTAGAACTTAAGATGTGTGGCTACAATGGCTCTGTCCCCTCTGTGGAGTCGTTACACCAAGAGGTCTCAGTCCTTGTTCCTGACCCCACAGTAAGCTGTTTAGATGACCCTTCACATCTTCCTGATCAACTAGAAGACACTCCAATCCTCAGTGAAGACTCTCTTGAGCCCTTTGACTCTCTGGCACCAGGTAGGCCAAAAGGCTGGATCTTTTACTTACAAGCAAAGGGTAGCCAGTTTCTGCCACCTGGAAGAGAAAGTGAACTGAGGAACATGTCAGGGAATCTAGAGTTTTGAGGCTTCCAGACAATCCAGGGGCAGACTACAGTTATGTGCCACTGACCTGGCTGGGCCAACTGCCCTCTGAGCTGAATTGGTTTGTTTCCCAAGTTCTTTACCAGTGTTCAGTTTGGCCAAGAGCCCTGGGCTGTAATAATTCACTGAATATGAACTTAACTACCACACAGGCTATTTGGGTTCTCACTTAACTAGAAAGAAAACATTTACCAACGAACAATAATCTTTACCACACTTATATACAGGAAAGGCATATTTTATGATAAAAACTATAATTTTACAAGATTCTATGGTCAAGGCCATAGAAAATTTTCACTTTTCACTTCAGAACTTTTATGGTCCTTACAGTCTAATGACATCACTCATTTTTTTTCTCCTGTGCTGGCTACCTAACCTAGGACCTTCTTGTTAAGCTATATCCCCAGTGCCCTAAGTTATACCCCTGGCCCTCTACTTTTTTTTGTAAATTTTGACATAGGATCTTCCTTAAGTCACTAAGTTATCCATGCTGGATTTGAAGTTGTGGTTCTTCCTCAGCCTCCCAAAGTGCTAGGATTATAGGTATGCACCAACATGCCTATATTCTTTTAAAATACTGTATATTGTATAATTCCTTATTTTAAGTTTAGAAAGATTCTTTACACTGAGGAAACTAGAACTGGACTTTGAGACAGAGTCACAATGTAGCACAGGCTGGCTTTAAACCTGTGGTTGGTGATCCTCCTGCCTCAGCCTTCCAAGTGCTAGGAATATAGTCTATCACATGTGGCTAGAATTGGATATTTTTCAGGCTAGGTTTGGCTTTTTTTTTTTTGATGCCCAGGGATTGACCTGAGAACCTTTGTACTGAACTGCATCATCTATTTGTCTGTCTGCCTTTCTTTTCTTACCTCTTACCTCTTTTTATCTCTCCTTTTTTCTCATTCTTTCCCTCCCTCCCTTCTTTCCTCCCTCCCTCCCGTCTTCTGTATTTATTCACCAGTAGGGTCTTGTTAAGTCACTAAACTGCCTAGGTTGGACACTAATTTGAAATCCTCCTACTTCAGCCTCCAGGAGTGCTGAGACTTCAGACATGTACCACCACCAAACCAGTATTTGTTTTTTTCCCCCTCTTTGTGGGGTGGGAATGGTACTGGGAATCAAACTTAGGACCTCATGCTTGCCAGACAGGCACTGTATAGCTGAGCTATATCCTTGGCCCAAACTGGTATTTCTTGAGGAAATCTTACTTTCTAATTTTTCCTTAATATCCTGCTGATTTTTTTTCTTTCCCCCCATAAACAGAGCCAGTGAGTGGAGGACTTTATGGTATAGATGACACAGAACTGATGGGTACAGAGGACAAGCTGCCTCTTGAGGACAGTCCTGTGATCTCTGCCCTTGATTGCCCTTCCCTCAATAATGCTACTGCCTTTAGCCTCCTGGCGGATGACAGCCAAACATCAGCTTCTATCTTTGCCAGCCCTGCCTCTCCACCTGTCTTAGGGGAGTCTGTTCTGCAAGGTAAGTAAGGAGAGGTCAAACAAGAAAAAGTCCTTGACTAGCACAAAAAGAGTGGGTTCCATATAGTTAGGGTAACAGAATTAGGTAGGAAATCTGTAGGAGTAACTGGCTAGAGGATGAAGATCTCATGGGGCAAGGTATGGTGGGACTAATAAAGGCATGGAGCACTATACTCTTAACCTGTGTCCTCAGTCCAGAAGAACTTGTGAGTCTTGGGGTTTGCAGGGTAGAGCCCAGATAATTTTCCTTTCATGGCTTTAGATAAAAGATACTTGTTTATCTAATTATAATAGCAGTTTTGCTCTTTAACCTTTATAAATATTGGTGGGGGGGAGCCAGAGGTGCTTTTTCACACCCTAGGATGAAGCCCTGAAAGGAACCATGTTTAGCTTAATCTAGATTTGATCAAATAGATTGTTTTATGTGATGCCATATTTTCTTTACTGTATCCCCTTGGATCCTAGATAACAGCTTTGACCTGAATAATGGCAGTGATGCCGAACAGGAAGAAATGGAGACTCAGGGTTCAGATTTCCCACCACCCCTGACCCAGCCATCCCCTGACCAGCCTTCCACTATTCAAATTCAACTACATCCAGTAGCCTCACCAGCAGTCTCACCAACAGCCTCCCCAGAAGTCTCCCTGTCAGTTTCTCCAGCACCCTCTCCACACCTCTCTCCAACAACTTGCCCAGTCGTCTCTCCCAGTTCCTCAGCAGTCCTCCCAGCAGTGTCTTCGGAAGTTGCCTTGACAGCTCCAGTGAGCTCCCCAGCAGCCTCCCCTGTAACTTTCCCAACTTCTGCCTCCCCAACAAATAAAGATGTCAGCAGCTTCCATGAAGCCAGTGGTAACCTGGAAGAGATCATGGGAGAAGAAGTCACTACTTCTGGTAGTGGTAAGTGTCCAGATTCTGTTCCATCTCTGGCTGGTTCCTAGAAAAGTGTGTTTCAACCATGTGTGATGTATGACTATAATCCTGATGCTCTGGGAAGCTAAGACAAGAAGATCACAAGTTCAAACCCAGTCTGGGCAACTTAGTGAATTAACAAAATTTTCTCTCAAAATTAACTTAAAAGGCTGCGATGTAGTTCAATACAAAGGCCTTGAATTCAATTCCTAGTACTGCTAAGAGTTGGTGGGGTAAGAGAGAAAAGAGAGGAAATTGAAATTGTTTTACAGAACATGTATATCCCTCCCCACTAGCCTGTTATTTTAGTATTGTACTTGAGCTCCTAACCTGAGTATCCCATCTTCCCTCCAAGCTGATGTCCTGAGGAGACGTATTGCTACTCCAGAAGAAGTTCGTCTTCCCCTTCAACATGGGTAAATGCTCTAGGTTGTTACATGCATTGACCTTGAAAAGTTTAATGCATGATTATAAGAACATGGGAGCTCCTCTTAGTTTGGGGGGAAATCAGCTTGATAGGAATAGATTACAGGATAGTTATGTGTAATTATAATGTTCCTTAGCATGAGATTCCTAGATTTTGCTTCTCATAGGGTATGTCTTCACTCAGTGACTCTTTTCTCATCTTAAGGTGACTCAGCCTGGATCAAGGGGCTCCAGTTGTTATCTTTGCTAAAGCCTGAGTCTCAGATAGCTAAACTAGCTACCTTGCCTATCTTCATAGAGAAGGGGTAGTAATGAGTGAGTAGTGGCTTATGACGAGTGATTTGGGGTAGTTTTGTTATGGTGGTGGTTTTTGTTTTAATGCTCTTTGGAGAAGTGAACACTGTAACACATTAGCTAGAATGAGCAAGCCAGCAGACAACATGGGCTTTATAGGAATAATTATCTTGCCTTATCTTTACCACCCCAACCCCTCTAGGCTACTTATAGTCCCCAGGTCTGAGTATTACTTTCAATGTGATTGCCACTTTTTTTTTTTTTTTTCCTTTTGTGGTACCGGGGGTCAAACTCAGGGACATTCTGCTTGCCAGACAGGAATTTATGCCACTGAGCTATATCCCCAGACCTCAGTGTGAAAGAGAGATAAAACCTTAGACTTAACAATAATCTGGGGGCTGGCGAGATAGCTCTGTGGACCAAAGCACTTGCTTTTGCAGGGTTAGGTAATTGCAAGGACCACGGTTCAGGGACCACAGTTTGTGCCAGCCCCACCCCCAGAGCAGGCTCAACTGGCCAGAGTCCAGGATTTAGTGGCATACACCTGTAATCCCAGTGCTGGGGAGGCTGAAAACAAGAATCACTATGAGTCTAAGCTGCATAGTGAGGCCCTGTAACAACCAAATACATTTTAAAAAGAAAAAACCAAAACAATCTATGACTCAGAAACATGGAGTTCCTAACTAAACCCTGGCCTACCAAGTTATTTAATGGAGTCAGCGGGGAGTTAAGTCTTCATCTTGCTTTCCCATCCTTTCTTCCACCCTTATTCCCCTAGGTT